TATATATATATATTCCAAACCATGCTTACCATTTCCTGCATATCACACCTCTATCATTATCTTCCAAGACTGCTCTTTATTCTAGAGCAATGGTTCTCAACTTTCTTAATTCCACGAACCTTTAATACAGTTCCTCATGTTGAGTTGACCTCTAACCATAAAGTTATTTTCGTTGCTACTTCATAACTGTAATTTTGCTACTGTTAAGAATCAGGTGACCCCTGTGAGTCATTCGACCCCCAAAGGGGTCTCGACCCACAGGTTGAGAACCGCTGTTTTAGAGGGAGAGTTCTCTATTTTTTGTGGCTGTGCATTGCATAAATATCCCTGCAAACATAGTCTCGAATAAGGGACAGTGGTGCCTTGGCTACAGGACAGGCAGAGCTACAAGAGACCCATGAAGAATAGTCTCCCAGTTTAGATTGATTGGAGTTGAGGATGGGCCATGAGTATAAGTCAATACTTTGCCTTTCATTTATAAAATTATTTGCATAATTTAGTCCCTGTGTTCCTTAGATCAATGTTTCCCAGACTTAGTATTCTTATTGCTACTCATAATTTTTAAATCTATTTTTCAACTGTAGCTACTATAGTTGAATAGTTGTTTTATCTTTTTCTACAAATCAGTTCAGTTTGTCTCAGACAAACATCCTAAAAGGGAAAACTTGCATCACCATTCAAGTAGAAAGTCAGTAATAGAGAAAGCACCCCAAAACATAGAGCTATCAAAAACATCATATCCAAGGAGATGCCCTTGCTTGGACAATACTCTGAACCTAAACTGTGTTTTCTTTGTATTAAAAAGGAAGACTGATATGATAGTTGTACTACTTCAGAAATTTTCTTTTAAATATATTGAGTTGTACTCTTATTGTAGGTGATTTTATGGGTGGTAAATTATACTCAAAAATTGTTAGAAGAAAAAAGGGATTAACAAGTGGTAGAGAAGCACTGAATGCTATCACTAGTCTGAGACTTTTCTTTTTGCTGTAACCTGAGGACTAATGAAGAATTTACTTGGTCTATGTCATTGTTGGTTTGCCTACTTAAGTAAGACAGGCATGGGAAGCAAGCTCCAGGAGAAAGCAATGGGACCGACAGTTCTGGAGGGACTTGTGGGGAGAAGGTGGAGGGGGAACATGCGGTAAGCAAACAGTGCCACAGACAGAGGAACAATGGGGAATTAAAATCAACAACAGGGAGGATGTAGAGACCCTGGGGGTGTTGGAGCAAAAGCAATCTAGCTGAGAGGAAGTACTAAGGTAGAAGTAGGGGGAGCATGATAGTGGGGCAGGAAGAAAGTAAAAGGAAACAGAGGAAGGATCTAGGAAGCAAAGATATGGGTAGAGGTAAAAGCATATGTATGTGCATATGTGAATACATTAATCCATAAAAATAGAGGTATTGGCTTATGTGCATATATTTACATGGCAGTACACTGGGGTAGTGGATGAACTTTGAGCCTCTGCTCATACCTTCCCTGAATACAAGAGCACTTTGTTCTAACAAACTGGTATTCTGTGATGCTCATTCTCCCTGCATAATCGCTGAAGACAAAAAGTGGTGCATAAGCAAATGTGGTGAAGAAGGCGGATGGTGCCTGCCTATTAAAAGATATAGTGTCTGGGGTCCTAAAGGGTTGAAGTTAAACAAGCGGCCATCTAACAGAGAAGCAATAAGCTCACATGGAAGAAGCACACCAGCCAGTGTGATCATGAGGTGTCAACGGGACTGGGTAACAGGCATCAGGGGACCCATAGCAAATAAACAAACACATATTGTTGAGAACAAGGGGGGGTCAGAGCAACACCCAAAGCCCATCTGTAGACAATGGAACATACCCCCACAGAAGGGTCACAGGTAAGGGATGAGTCAACCAGGGTGCAGTAAAGCACCGATAAGACACACAATATTCCTCTGGTTCTTTGAGGCTTCCTCACCCCCCACTATCATGACTCCAGTTTTGCTTCTCACTTAGGACTAGACCAGAACATGTACACAGGTACAGATAAGAGACAAGTGCTCACAACACACAGAATCCAGGAACAGGAGTGGGAACAGCGATGCCAGAGGGGTAGGGGAAGAGGGGAGTGAAGAAGGGAAGAAGGGGGAGCCATCACAATGATCAACACATAACCACACACCCCCTCCAGGGGGAAGAACAACAGAAACCATGGGGGAAGGGAGACAGCAGTGGGTGTGAGAGATGAAAATTATAATTTATAATCTATCAAGGGGTCATGAGAGTGGGGAGTGGAGGGGAAAAAAGAGGAGCTGATAACAAGGGCTCAATAGAATGTAAATGTCTAGAAAATAATGATGGCTACATATGTACAAATATACCTGATACAATCAGTGTGTGGATTGTAGTAAGAGTTGTAAGAGATCCCAGTGAAATGAACTTTTAATTAAAAAAAAAAATGTTCTTATTTATTCTTTTTATAAATTATTATCCCACACGTGCTTAGGCACTATTCTGGATTATTAGTATCCAAACCAAACGCATCCATAGAATCAAGTTTGACCCATGGTGACCTTATAGAACAGGGTAGCACTGTCTGTGTGGGTTTCTAAGACCATAACTCTTTTCAGGGGTAGAAAGCCTCTTCTTTTTTCCCAGGAGCAGTTGGTGGTTTCAAACTGCTGATCTTAAAACTAGCAACTGATCACACAACCACTAAGCCATATGGCTCCTGGATTTTAGGACAGGAAATAAATAATTAAATATACATTCTAGTGGAGAAACATGGCAATAAATAATTATTTTTGGCAATAATTTATCAGTAAATCATGTAGTGTGTTAGAAATCAAGAAGTGTTACAGAAAGTAAACAGACATATGAAAGCTATTTTGCATAATGCTATAATAGTGGATACAGGATACATTTCTCAAAACACACAGAAAAACTACACCACAAAGAATGATCCCTGATTTTAATTGTGTGTTAGTTAAAAATAATCCAACGATATTAGTTCATCAATTGGACCACAGGTACCACAGAGGAATGCAGACTTTTAAGCACAGGGTAAAGCCTTGTACTGTATATGGGAGAGCAGGAATTTATGGAAACTCTGTACTTCCTGGGTTTTTTAAAATGTAAAATCAAAACTCTAAAAAACAAAGATTTTAACTTAGTAATATATTGCCTTCCCCTTCACCCAAGCTAACACTTGTAAACGTGGCTTGCAAACATCTGATTGGCTGATGAAGACCAGCATTTCTTCATTGGCCACATGGATGTTCTCTTTAATCAAGTGTCTGTTCATAGCCTCTACCCACTTTTTAAAATGGATTCTTTGTCTTTTTCTTGTTGAGGTGAAATTTTTATAAATTTGAGAGAGTAGTCTGTTGTTCAACATGTCATTGCTAAATACATTTCGCTTGGTTCTCTTTACTCTTTTGGTAAAATCTTGTTATGTACACAAGTATCTTAATTTTTAGGTGGTCCCACATCTAGTGTGTCTTCTTCTTGTATGTGTTCAGTTGCTTGTTAGTATATTGATGCTGTGCAATAAAGACCCTAAATTTGTCCCTATATTTTCATTGGTGTTTTAGGTGTTTGATTTGCCTTGAGATCGTATTTGTAGGTGATGTGGGATATGGATCCTGTTTCCTTCCTTTGTAAATGGACATTCCGTTTTGACAGCCCTGCTTGTTAAAGAGTGTATCGCCTCCCCGTTTAATGTCTTTTG